CCCCCACCCCCCACACACACTCACCAGGTCCCAGGGTTCCCCTTGTACCCCACCCCCGCAAGGCACTCCTACAATTAGAGACTCTCTCGCTGGCATGTTTCTTGGCCAAACCCAAACTTCCCGCTGGAATGTTCCTGATCCCATGGCACATGAGCTGGGCAGGTGCTTCAGGATGGAGCGGTGGGTCGGCGAGAGCTCCCAGGCCCGAGTTACGCAGCAGGGAAGGTCACAGGGCCATAGGAGACCTGGTGCTTAGTGTGAGCTCTGTGCAATTTGGAGCAGGGGTTTGAATGTAGGTCTCATGTGAGCGGCTGGAGCACTGGGCTAGGGGGTTCTCTGTGTCCCACAAGGTCAGTGTGTTCTGGGCACATCTCCACTGACCCAGGGCAAGTCGCTCCGCCGTTGTCCGGGCCCTGGGCTGAGATGCAGCAGAGTGAGGCAGGAGGCCTGTGTGAGTCCAGCATCCATCGCGTAAGGACACTAGACTGCTGGCGCTCGCCCATAACGGAGCCCAGGGCCATGGGTGCTGGCATCCAAATGGGAAATAAAAGGTTATAAAAGTCCAAACATGAGTCTCGTGGTGGATGAGCTGCAGAAGCTGGACACAAACAAGCTCCTGGCGATGGGTGTCCTGCAGAATTGGCTGGAGACATGTCAGGAGGAGACCATACCCATACAGATCCATTCCCCCACCCTGGGCAGCACGGCCTCCCGTCCTCACCTGAGGGGGGCAAGGGAAGGCAGGAACTTGCAGATTTACAGCTTCTTCCATTACTTATTTATTAGAAAAGAACAGGTTACCCAGAGGCGGATGGGGTAACAGGGCACCTTTATTGCAGATGCTCCTTCCATCTCCGATCCCACTTGCCTCGGATGCGAGTCAGTCAGGAATTTATTCAGGTTACACCCTTTTATCTTAGTTTGTAAATACCCTTATCAATTCCCTCACCCTTGAGTACCTAATTTAGGAGAGGGAATTTTTGGTGAACACCCAAAGAATGCATAATCAGAACCGTGTGCTGAACATAATGACACATGCCCCTTTTCACAGCTTTTGAACTGAGGATGGCAGGTCTCACATCTCAACTCTCCTGACATCAGCAGCGTACAAGGGGTACAGGAGAAATGACCCTGACTGTATAATTCTCTGCAGATAAGGGGGTGAGGGAGATAGCACTGCTAACACCCACGCCATTCATTGAAAGGTTACATCTTGGGTGCAGTTGCATGTTCCTGTATCCCAAGCAAGCAGGGAAGGAGGAACCAAAACAAGTCTGTCACTGAATAGAAACAGCATCTGCCAGGGCTGTGCCCCTTTCTCATGGTCGCAACTACCCAGACCCCTAATTTAACCCTTGCACACCCCAGTAGAACTGGCCAGAGTTCAGCCCACGTAGCCAGAGGTAGGGAGGGGACGAAGAGCCCGGAAGATCTGTGAACCCATCCTGATGTTAGGATGTGCAACAAGAACTGTTAAACCAGCAGCTGTAACATCTCTGCTAGAGCCTGCCTCGAGGACTGGGAGATTCGGTGCATGTAACGTACTGTACTTTAATAACCTTACTCTCATGCTTTTCTTTCTTGTGTTAATAAACCTTTAGTTGTTAGATGCTAAAGGATTGGCCCAGCGTGATTTGTGGGTAAGATCCAGAGGGTAAATTGACCAGGGATTATTCTATATTTACCCCTTCCCGTTACACAAGAACAGGAATCCCTCAAAGAAATTAACTAGCAGCAGGTTTAAAACAAATGAACAGAAGTCTTTATTGGCATGACACACAATCAACTTGTGGAACTCCTTGCCAGCTGATGCTGGGAAGGTGGAGACAATAACAGTGTTTAAGCGAGCTAGATAAATTCATGGGGGATAGGTCCATCAATGGCTATTAGTGAGGCTAGATGGGGATGCAATCCCATGTCCTGGGTGTCCCTAAGCAATTTCACTGCCATTTGCTAGGCGTGGGCCACAGGGGACAGCTCGTTTGAGGATTCCCTGTTCTGTTCCTTCCTTCTGGAGCATCAGGCCCAGACACTGCCCTGTCCGTCACAACCGGGCTGGGGACCTTTGGTCTGACCCAGTGCAGTTGCTCTTATGCTTGCCTTAGTTTAAAGCAGGACTGGGCAGGCTTTTTTGGGTCGAGGGTCGCTGACCCACAGAAAAATCAGTCGGGGGCTGAGAAGCAAAGAGAGAAGCCCCTGAGTGAGAAGGACCAAGGCCCTCCTCCCACTTGCCTCGCACACCAGAGCCGAGGTGGGCCCAGGCCAGTAGATTTTGTGTGCTCCAGCCCTGTGGGTAGGTGGCAGGGGGCTGGTGAGCCAGCGCACACCCACATCCGGCCCCAGGCCTGCGGGTCCCCACCCCCTGGTTTAAAGTAAAGTTCCTGTGGATGCAAAGTTGCTGCCTCATATTTGTGTTTGGCAAAGCCAAGCAGGTTTTCATCCCGCTCAGCACGGAGGAGAAGAAGGGACCAGAGAGGCATCGGGGGGAGGGAGAGGCAATCAGAGCACAGAGCAAAGTCCCCTTTGTGCTGCCTGCATTTCCCTCGGGCTGCCCCAGTGTTCGATCGGTCACTGCCGGCAGGGCTCTGTGCCATGAGTGAGGGGTGGGGCTGGCCCTGCCTCCTCCCCCACCAGGTGTTTCTCTCCCCTCCCCCAGACTGGTCCTGGCTTCCCAGAAAAAATCAGCCAAGCAACTCAATGAGCCGGGTCTGCTCCCCAATCCTCCAATGGCCAGTCCAGCTGCTCTTCACCCCACAACTGCTGTGATGGGCGTGTGCACTGCCAATCAGCAGCAATCCCCCACCCCCCACACACACTCACCAGGTCCCAGGGTTCCCCTTGTACCCCACCCCCGCAAGGCACTCCTACAATTAGAGACTCTCTCGCTGGCATGTTTCTTGGCCAAACCCAAACTTCCCGCTGGAATGTTCCTGATCCCATGGCACATGAGCTGGGCAGGTGCTTCAGGATGGAGCGGTGGGTCGGCGAGAGCTCCCAGGCCCGAGTTACGCAGCAGGGAAGGTCACAGGGCCATAGGAGACCTGGTGCTTAGTGTGAGCTCTGTGCAATTTGGAGCAGGGGTTTGAATGTATTATTCTATGATTCTATGATTCTATGACCCTGGATACCACGTGATCTGCCGTAGCGCTGGGCTGGGGGGTTTTCTGTGCCCACAAGGTCAGTGTGTTGTGGGCACATCCCCACTGACCCCGGGCCAGGTCACTCGGCCGTTGACAAGGCCCTGGGCTGGGATGCAGTGCAGTGAGGCAGGAGGCCTGTGCGAGCCGAGCATCCATTGCGTAAGGACACTAGACTGTGCTGGCACTCACCCGTAACGGAGCCCAGGGCCACGGGCACCGGCATCCGAATGGGAAATAAATGGTGATAACATTGGAGTCCAAACATGAGCCTCGTGGTGGATGAGCGGGAGAGGCTGGACACAGACAAGAACCTGGCCTTCCCCAGGTGATGGTGGCCCTGCAGAAGGGGGTGAAGGCACGTCAGCTCCCCAGTCAGCACGGCCTCTATCCCTTGCCTGGGAGGGGCAAAGGAAGGGGGTGACTTTTGAATTTCCATCAGCTACAACTCCCCACTCGCCAGAGCTTAGACCACCGAGGCAGGGAGGGGAGACATCTCCCCGCTGCTGTTCCTTGGCTGCCAGTGTCTCCCAGTGACTCTAAACGACCCGTCCTTAGAGACAGGGAACCCATGCAGCCCAGAATCTCCTTCATGCCTCAGTTTTATAACCAAGGTTTTCCTTTGGGTCCCAGGTACCTGAGAGCAGGGTGGGCTCATGGGCATTAGCAAACCTGCCCTGACACAGCAGAACTGGAGCGGACTTGGCTAAGCTTTGGGGCAAAGACCCCATCTTGGTGACTGAGGAGAGGAACTTTATAGACGGCCGCTGTGGAGACAGTTGGGAGAGTGATGGGTTGGGCCCCCTCAGGATATCAGGTGATGGGCTGAGATACCACTGAGCCACCTTTTCTATCAGCCTGGGCCCCCTTTCGTCCTGGTTTGCTGAACCAAGATTTTCAGCCTCCTCCAGCAACACACCAGTAGGGCCACACCCCGCTGCAGAATGAGACAGACACGGAGATCAGCTCAGGGAAGGCTCAGCTGAAGGGACCTGCCTCAGCGCCCAGGTGCCCATCTCCCTTGGAGGGAAGAGCCAAAAGTGTACGAACCTCATCCCACCCTCAATGTGAAGAGAGCCATGCACAACCCCTTGCCACCCCAGTTAGAAATTCCATAAACTGGGCAATTGTATAAATCAGAACTCAATTTACTAATTACAACAGGTGGATTTTAAGCGCTTAACGAGGTAGCTCATAGAAGAAAGCAGATTTCTAAGACATTCAAACAGCGCACACAAATTAAGCTTGATTATTAAAGAAACTGGTTACAAAGAACGACTCAGCTTCCTGGATCTTGTTTTAGGTAGATTCCTGCACAGGCCAGGTATCTTTCCAACCCTAGTGTCAGGGCTTTTCTCCACTCTGGCATTGTGAGTGCCGAAGATGGGGGCCAACAAGAGACTTTAAAAATACTTTGCCATTAAATACTTCCCCAAGGTAAAAGATTCCTCATCCTTGGATTGATATCGCTGCCACCACCCAGATGTGAAACCCCTGTAAGAAACCAGGAAGACGCACGTGGAAAGATGAGTTAGCTTGCCCATCACTTGTGAGCATCTTTGCGCCTCTCCGTCTGGCATAAAGTGGGTAGCAGAAGAACAAATCTCCTCTTTGGCCTTCCTCTCAGACTAGTGAGCATCCCTATTTGGGGGGCGTCATTAAAGTGGATCGCAAGGCCACCAACAAAAGGGATCAGGAAGCCACATTCAGCCTTGGCCCTGAATTTGTAGTGAAACTTCCCTGGGGGTGAAAATGTCTGTTTTGCTACTGGGAATGAAAGTGTTAATGTCCCTGTCTTGGAGCCAAGGGGGCCTCTCCTTGCAGTGTGGAAGAAGTCAGCAAGTAAGTCACATGGCTCTGGACTCAGCACCATTTCCACGTCTGGGACAACACGCAGACCATTTGTTCCCGCAGCTGCTTGGTTTTCATCCCATAAACAATGGGGTTTAGCACGGGGGGGACGAGCACGTAGAGATCGGCCAGCAGGATGTGAATGTGTTTAGGGATATTGTGGCCAAAGCGGTGGGTTAGGAGAGTGAAAAACGCTGGGACGTAAAATAAGAGGATGATACAAAAGTGGGAGGCGCAAGTGCTTAGCGTCTTGAGCCGGGCTTCTTTGGTGGGCAGCTTGAAGACAGCCCTGAGGATCAGCACGTAGGACACGGCGATGAACACAAAGTCTAGTATAAAGGTGAGAATAGGCACTGAAAAGCCAAACCAGATATTGAGAGAGATGTCTGCACAGGCCAGCCTGGCCACCCCGATGTGCTCACAGTAGGAGTGCGGGATGACGTTGCTGGCGCAGAAGGGCAGCCATTTGAGAAGAAAGACATCAGGGACAATTATAAAAAAGCTTCTGACGACAATGGCCGTGGCTATTTTCCCGATCTTCTCGTTGGTGAGGACAGTCGTGTACCTCAGGGGGTCGCAGACGGCGACGTACCGATCAAACCCCATGGCCAGCAGGACGGCCGACTCGACGGCAAACCCAAAGTGCACAAAGAACACCTGGGTGAGGCAGGAACTGAAGGAAATGTCCTTGGGTCCAAACCAGAAGATGGCCAGCGTGTTGGGCACTGTGGTGGTGGATAACAGCAAGTCGGCCACCGCCAGCATGGAGAGGAAAATGAACATGGGCTCGTGCAGCCTGCGCTGGGTGGCGATGAGCAGGAGGAGACCACAGTTCCCCAGAACAGCCACCGTGTACATCAGCGCGAAGGGGATGGAGATCCAGGGGTGCCAGGGCTCCAGGCCCGGGATGCCGACCAGGACGAAGCTGAGGTGACTGAACGGTGGCGATGAGCAGGAGGAGACCACAGTTCCCCAGAACAGCCGCCGTGTACATCAGCGCGAAGGGGATGGAGATCCAGGGGTGCCAGGGCTCCAGGCCCGGGATGCCGACCAGGACGAAGGTGAGGTGACTGAAAGTTGTGCTGTTGGGCGCGGCCATGGGGCGCTGAGGGCTCCGCTTGGGAGCTGGGCACAACTGGAAGCAGAGAGAAGATCAATTCTTGCAGGGCTCTCGCCCCTCTCACACTCACTTCTCACTTCCTGCACCCCTGGCTGAGAGCTGCACTCAGAGCTGGGCAGGGCAGAGCCGGAGCCGGAGCCGGTGGCAGGGACCTGTCAGGAGCTCAGAGCTCAGAGGTGACCACTCGACAAACCAGCCACAGAGCAGGCAGGGCCGGGTGGTGAGTCTCAGAGAGCCCAGCCCGTGAAGCTGGCCTCCCTCAGCTCTGGGACACATCCGGAAGCTTTTAGGGACCATTCTGCTACTCGCGCTGCTGGATAATTTATTGCTCTATTTCTGGCCCGGCTCCCTGCTTGGCCACTGAGAGACTCTGAACCCCCCCGGGAGCTGCAGAGCCCACGAACACAGCGACCACTCAGAGGTGCCTCAGTGCAGAAAGGGGCACTAATGGATTCGGAGCCTGGGGACACAGGACTGGGTCCAGGATCCCAGCGGTGGCCGGACCGGCCCCAGACACAACAGGGATAGAATCTCCCTGTTCCTGGCCCCAGCTCTGTGCTAGGGGCTCCTGTTCAGCTGGTTATTCACCCAACCCCTGAGTCCTGGTCATGTCCAGCACCCGTGGAGCTTCCCGCAGCGCTGCTTGGCCAGCAGGGGATATTCATTGTGCTAACCCTGCACCCAGCCCATGGAAATTCAGCCTCTGCCCGGTGGGAACTGGGCATTGCCTGGGAGCTGTCTGCAGGCAAATGCAAATCATCGGCTGTTATCACTAACGTGCAGAATTCTACTATATAGTGGAGAGAGCCTGCCTGTCCGTCTGTCTGTCTGGGGAAGAGCTCCTCCGGAAAGATTGGCGCAAGCACCACCACATTTGGGAGGCAGCTTCCTTTTAGCACAGCTTACAGAAGATGCGGGGCTTGCTGTGTGGAGAAAGCGGGAAGGGCCTGAGATGGGATTGCTCCTCCGGAAACCAAACAGAAGAGCGACAGACTCACCGAGCAGGGGAAAGGGGCTTGCAGAGGGCTCCTCTGTCCCTGGTTCAGGACGGCTCCTGCTCCGAACCTCACCGCCCCAGGCCTCCTTTGCGGAGGGCAGGAGAAGCTGAAGTTGCCTACGGGACCACTGCTGGAGGTGCCGCTTTGTGAGGGGAGAGTGCACATTTGGCTCCACTCCTCACGCTGGCAGGGGAAAGCAGGGGGCACAGGAACGTGGATCTGCCCCAGTGGGGGACATGCCTGGCTTGCCCAGCTGTGCTCGCTGGAGCTGCAGCGGCCATGGAAGGTCACTGAGCCCCACACTGCTGTGTGCAGAGGGGGCTGGGGCTGCCCTCTCTCCCTGGGGCAGCTTTCCTTGTGAACCCCTCCTCCTCAGCCCCCACCCAGGCCCATGGCTCCACTGACGCCTGGGAATGTGCACAGTATTATGAACCCCCCTGAAAAGTTCCCTGAGTGTCCGCCCCGAGGGAGGCCGGGTCCCCTCCCAGCGCCACAGGAAGGCCCCTGAAGAGAGATGAAAGCTCCCGCTCCCCACTGCAATCGGTGGCTGGGAAGGCCCGTTGGTGGGAGCCGCACGTTGCTCTTTGCTGTTTTAACTCCCTGCCCCAGGCCAGCAGCAGTGAGGTCTCCCCAGCTCGGAGACGCCCGGGAGACTCTCCAGGGTAACAGCTGAGCAGGAGCCTCCGGCACGAACGACCCCCCCTGGGCGCCTCTGGGCCCTGGAACGTCCACCAGGAGCGGAAATGGCCGAGTGCCCCAGGCAGGGACCTTCCATTGCAAACCTGCCTGGGGCCTTTCTCCTGGCTGCAGATGCCCTGCCGCTCACCCCAGCCCTTCTCACTGCTTCAGGTGTGTGTCCCTGGGCAGCCTTCCCCCAGGCCCCTTCGGGCTTTCTCAGTCCCTGTAACCCTGACCCATGGTGCTGCTGCCAGTTGCAGGGGGCAGGCTGCTCAAACTGGACCCTGCTCTGACACAGGCTGGAAACGCCCGTTAGCGGGAGCTGCATTTTGCTGGTTGCTGAGTAACTACAGAGTAACTACAGGGCGTCCGTCTGTCCCTGCCCATCTGTCCATGCACCCGCCATCTCT